GGTTAACTTACTGAACAAACGACACGGTTAATTTACTTGAACGAAAGACATGGATAAGTATGTTGTCATGTTAATTTTGCATATATTGTTACGTAGTAGATTATGAACGTTATCGTGTTGTAACATAAGTATGTTATCATGTTAACTTACGTATGTTTTTACATAGGAGCTTATGCATCTTGTCCTTTTGTAACTTATATATGTTGTAATGTTAACTTACGTTTATTTTTACGTAGTGGCTTATGGATATAGTCACGTTGTAACTTAAGCATATTTTCGTGTTAGCTTGCTTATGTTGTTACGTATGAATGTAATAAAGCCCAAAAATTTGTTTGTCTGTTTGTCCGTTATCTAACTACTCCTGGGTCGCTGGGCTAATCTCAACCAAATTTTGTAAGATGATAGTTTGGAACAAGAGGCTAACCACCCCTTCCATCCTATTATTACTGTTATTGAGCAGTTATTATCTTTGACGTAATTTAAAGTTAAGTACATTCATAGATGATAGCACGTCCTTACACAAAAAAATATTAACTTTTCTATAGATCCTATGCGCGTAACGTCATGCATACATTACCGACAAGCCGAAAAGTAAACACCGCCATTTTGGACGTAGCAGAGAGACAATCTAGTAATCACAATGTAGTTGATGATATTGGAATTTGGGATCAAGTACTTGAAATGACAATCAGCTGTGCGGTAGTTAGTTGTAAAAACAACCAGACAAAGAATCCGGAGTTATCGTTTTATAGCTTCCAAAAGATCCAGTATGTAGAGTTAAATGGACTGCGAGAGTAAAACGTGCAGACCTGAACAACAATAACAAGGCTTAGAAACCATCGTCGTATCACAGACTATCAGTTCCCATTTTATATACGGTTAGTACTACTTGCATATGCGACGTACCTTGTCACAATTATATTGCACAGATCTTCGTAGAACCTGTAGCTTGTAAATATTTGGTGATTCCCATAAATACTATGATACAGGCCTATACAAGCAGTGCTAGGTGGAAGGGCCTATTGGGCGATAATAAAGTTTTATCAAAAATGCGACTTGTCAAGACAGGTGGTCTTAAAATTCAGGGCTTATTCGTGTACAATATATGGTAATGTGTATTGAAGAAAGTAGTCTTACAAGACAGGAGGACTTAAAATGAAATACAATACGATTACGTAAATCTACCATTGATAGAACATAAACAATAGGCCTAGTCACTAAAAACAACATCGACTTACCCTCGATTAAACTATGTAGTTGGACGTCTTGTACATTTTACATAGTCTGACATCGTGCATCCAGCCGGCCACAAAATACTTGAAAGCATAAAAGCTTTTATAGGCCTTGAACTGCTTTCCGGTGTCAGGACTAAATAATTTACGATATCTATATTCTCCACCTGTTGGACTTTAACGTTGGTTTGTAGGCCTAACTCGGGTCCTCCATTTCCAATGTCGACTAATTTACTGTCATCCAGCGCGATTGTCATTGCTGACGGGATGGAATAAGGATTTGTCGTGTCAAGACCGACTTTTCTGCACTTTTCTTCATATCTTGACTTGCATACATTGTTTAATTTGCTAGTAAATTCGTGAAAAATGATAGGTAATTGTGTAGCGGAGGCCATGTTTACACGAATAATGTTTACGTTCAATATGGCCGCAAACTGTTGCCGTGTTTACTTTGGTCACATGACTGCATAACCTCTATAACACAATATACACAAAGTGTGGGGAGGGCATAAAAACGTTCTTATATATCTCAGAAAGTGCGTTATGGAGGAATGCAATGAAAACATGGCCGCTACTAGTGTAATAATACATAAACTCAGCTGAAGTTTCTACTCCAACAGCCACAACAAGGCTGATATAAAGAGCCATTATTGAGTTATACCCATTTCCTACATTGACCCATGACCTTTCAACTTCGGCCCGTAAGGCACTTCTGCGGCCAATGACCGTCAATTAATTAATCATGTGAAACACTATGGAAGGACATTAAGAGCTGGATGTCGAAAGCGGATAACATATAACACCACTATCGCCACTACTTATAAATATAAAGCCATCCTGACCGTCGCACAGTGTATATCATGTTTTAAGTATATACATATTGAGTTCTTAAGGCTTATACAAAACTTTTGGTGAGGTAATAATGAATACTATAATGATATGTTATGTTATAAATAAATTGTGTGAAAGTTAACATTTTTGTGGTGTTTGTCATAGCATCAACCCCACATGTTTTTAATGATTTTACGTTAATGTTGTTTTTGCGTGTTATTATTCACCAATGTATATACGTTGTGATACAGAAGCTTGTGTACGTTTTAATGGAATAAGTTGTATAGGCTATAATAGAAACTTATGTATTTCATCATAGAGTAGTTTAGGTACATGTTTTCAAAGTTATATGTATATTATCTTAGAAAACTTATGTGTGTTGTTCGGTATATATATATATATATACATAGATTCCATGTCGGTATTACATACGTAAAGAAAAGAACGTTTCTAAATACATATATGTGTTGTTCGGTTTATATATATACATATATATATACTCCATGTGCTCAGTAAAATGACATGAAATGGTGGCTTCCAGTGGGGAAAAGAACAAAAAAAATAAAAAATACGAGTGGCTACTCAGCAAAGATGAGCGATCTATTGTGCTGTATGCAGCAATTGCATCTAAATCCAAATATTTTTGCCAACAATGTAAGTAACACATGGAATGACAAAAGGCGGTTGTAAACGGTCCACTAGACAATCATATTGCATATACGCCCTGATCCAAGTGATTTGGTTGGCTGCACATTATATAATTATTCTTTAGAATTTTTATGAAAATTACCGTTGTTTTTTTTTCAACACTTTGCCAGTTAGTCCTAAATAGACCTTAAACGTTTTAATAGTCCGAAATAGAAGTCAAAACTTTGTTAGTTAGTCTGATAGAAACATAAATCTTGTCAGTTAGTTCTAAATAGACTCTAAACGTTTTTAGTTGGTCCTAAATAGAAGTCAAAACCTTGTTAGTTAATCATAAATCTAATCCAAAACCTTGTTAGTTTGTCATTAAGAGAAACATAAACCTTACCAGTTAGTCCAAAATAGACCCTAAACATAAACTGAAGCCAAAATATTGTTATTTAGTTCTAAACAGAAACGAACACTTGTCAGCTTGTCGTTAAAATAGACCCTAAACGTTTTTAGCAAGTCGTAAATAGAAACAAAAATATTGTCGGTTAGTCCTAAATAAAATCAAAACCGTGTCAACTAATTCAAATTATGAACTAACGCCTTGTCAGTTAATTTTCAAATTATGTTTAATACGTTTAGGTTATTAAGTTTCCTGTTCTTTCATGTAGTAACACGTTTGTGGAATTAAGAGTGAATGGATATTATACAGTAGTTATGCTATTGCTTCTAATCATAGTTATCGCTTATCGTGGCAGTTTAGTTTATAAGACCCATGTTTAAAACTAATTATTAATAAAACTAAAACATAGCACTATATTCAAAGTAAAAATAATCATGTCTGCTGCTAATTTGTTAATTCATACCACGAACAAAGAGAGCTTTATATTAAATCTGACATAACCAACGTATTTTATATTTTATTTTAGAAATTGTGTGTCTTCCAACTTAGAATATCGTTATGTATAGATTTATCATATCAGTCTTATTTAAATAATATGTTTCTTTATGTTATTTGGAAGCGTATGATGTAAGAAATATCTTAACTGTAGTTTTAAAGTTAGGTTATAAGAACGATAATTCAAAATTTGTTTGTTTAAATAATATTAGATTAAACAAGCAGAGACACTACTTCGATGTCACTATGTATAACAAGTCAACAGTATACATGTTGGGATTACATGGTGCTAATTCAGGAAAGCTAACTACATCGACGTCACTGTGTAAAAAGCCAAGAGCACAGATACTAGGATTACATGGTGTTTGTTCAGGTATGTTAACTATATCATTTGTCGATTGTTAGGTGAAGTCAACCATGTCTCTTCTTGAAGGATATAAACCGTGTCGATTGTTCAGTAAAGTTAATATCTTAAGCATGTTGTCATGTTAATCTACGTATATTGTTGCGTAGTAGATGATGTATGTTATTATGTTAACTTACGTATGTTGTTACGTAATAACCTATACACATTATCGCGTTTTAACATAAGCATGTTATCATGTTAACTTATATATGTTGTTACGTAGTACATTATGCACATTATTGTGTTGTAATATAAGTATATGATCGTGTTAACTTACATGTATTATTACGTAGTAGATTATATATGTTGCCGTGTTGTAACTGTAAACAAAAGCCACTTCAAAATTCATCAGATCGTCAAATCTCATACGAATGAAGATGAAACATCGTGATGAACACTGATTAAAGGTTAGTTACAGAAAGGGAAAACTTATTACTATACGTAGCTAGTAGTGAACGTAAAAGAGTTTGGGATGGTATGCCTGAAATTAAAGAAAAAGAAACGAGGAAAGTAGTATTGTGGTTAAAACTACAAAATAACATGGTTCCGTGGCTAAACTAAGAGGCAGAGAAAGAAGCTGTAGTTGTGCTAGGAGAAAAGAGAGGACAGAAAGGGGTCACATGGCAGAGATCAAAAAAGAGACGAGGAAGGGATGGTTTACTGAGAACCAAGATAGAAGGATTAGAAAATGGAGTGAATGAGGTAGGAAGAAGACAAAAAAGGAGTGGATAGCTAGAACCAGAGAGATAGAGGAAAAGAGAATGGGGCGAGGCTGGACTAAAAAATAAAAGGAAGAGGTTGGTGTCCTGAAAATATTATTCCATGTAATAATAATGATTTACTTACCTATCTTGTTGGGGATCAAATATTATGGTTGAAAGCTACATGTACATTTATAGATGAAAGTAATAACAAGAGCAGTAATCCATTATTAGGTCCAAAAACAGTGAAAAAAATCAGCATTTTCATAGAATCTTACTTAAATATGTGAATATCTAAGTTATGTATTGTTCAGGAAGACAGACTAATCACATTACCTTTAATGACCACTGTTGAACCAAGAGTTTTTTTTTTAACTCAACATTTTCATAGTGTAATACAGTAATCAAATATTTGTTTTTAATGTCCATTGTTGAGTCAAATATTTGTTTTGTTGACTCAACATTTTTCATGAAGCATGATAGGACGTAATGTAAGATAATAATCCATAAAGCTTTATGAGAAACTACTTGTAACAGCTTCTGAAAACTCTACCAAGTTATTACGGTTTGAAACTGACTAGCAATGAATCATCCAACGAACTGGCTGTTGCTTACGTTTTGCTGAACTCGATCCCAGGCTTCAGTGACAGCAGATTCATTTCCATAGAGAGGTATACTTTTCAACATTTCTTTTTTCATCTTCTCATCGACCTGAAATCAAATAATTATTTTTACGGATGATGTTCTGCGAGAGGGAAATGTAAAAGAAATTGCTTCGTTAATTATTTTTCTATGATTTAAAATGTACACTATCTATAGTATTAGAATGTTAGATCTTTTGAGTTACGTGTCGTGTTTACGTAGCGGTTGTCATGGAAACTGTGAGCTGTTGGCACATACCTCATCTCTGAAGACGTAGCCAAGGATTCCTCCGACTAACATGATGATAAAGATGATGAAGAGGATGACGAAGAACTAAGAAAAATACATATAAGAGGTTTAATTAATTGTGCTCTGCCTACCACTGGTATCGAAACCCGGTTTCTAGCAGTATAAGTCCGCAGACATACCGCTGTACCACTGGAGGCATTTAATTAATTCACCTTCCTTGTTAAATCTAGTTGTAATCCTGTTGTCTTGTGAGAGTGATTATGATTGTACTGGTCTTCTTTGTCTTGTAATAATGGTTGTCATTGTTACTCATGGTTATAGTCCTGCTGACTTGTGATAGCGACTACCATTGTTATTCGTGGTTATAGTATTGTTGTCTTGTAATAATGGTTCTCCTTGTTATTCGTAGTTATAGTTCCGTTGTCTTGTAATAACGACTGTTATTGTTATTCGTGGTTATAGCCCTGTTGTCTTGTAATAATAACTATCATTGTTATTCATGGTTATATTCTTGTTGTCTTGTGATAGCGACTATCATTGTTATTCGTGGTTATAGTCCTGTTGTCTTGTAATAATAACTATCATTGTTATTCATGGTTATATTCTTGTTGTCTTGTGATAGCGACTATCATTGTTATTCGTGGATATAGCCCTGTTGTCTTGTGATAGCGACTATCATTGTTATTCGTGGTTATAGTCCTGTTGTCTTGTAATAATAACTATCATTGTTATTGATAGTTATAGTCGTGTTGTCTTGTGATAGCGACTATCATTGTTATTCGTGGTTATAGCCCTGTTGTCTTGTAATAATGACTATCATTGTTATTCATGGTTATAGTCCTGTTGTCTTGTAATAATAACTATCATTGTTATTGATAGTTATAGTCTTGTTGTCTTGTGATAGCGACTATCATTGTTATTCGTGGTTATAGCCCTGTTGTCTTGTAATAATGACTATCATGGTTATAGTCCTGTTGTCTTATTATCACTATTGCTAAGACGACGATGTTTTATCTTACGGATGCTGTAAGGTGTTTAATCGCACCAATCAGTCTTTAAACTTCGAGAAAGTTCTATCGTAATGCTGTGAAATACTTTAGTAATAGTAGAAGGTGGATTGATACCGTTGTATCAACGCTTGCTTTTATTTACATTTTATAGCTTATTATTGTTGTAGTTAGTTTAATAAGACAAATATTATACAACAGTAAACCTTGCTTTTAATAACTTATCATAGAGATCTCGAAGGTATGGTTTTTTGTCACATATACATATATGACGTTTGTCATTTTTCGTTAGAAGGATTATCAAAATTCGTGTACATTCGTTTGAGTGATGAAAAATAAATTGTAATGAGATTTAGAAATTTTCTTTCGAACTTGAAGTAAAGTACGAACCGTAATTAACATGCACTTCACTTCCTTGTAAGCCCCCATACAGCCCAGGAAAGAGATGACGACCACAATAACCCCACTGGCAATGAGAATGGCGGCGGAGCTGACGTACATGCTGGACCCAATGAGCCGTTCCATGTAGGACTTGTCCGCGAGAATCCATACTCCCACAGAAAACACGGCAACACCACAAACCTGAGATAAACCGGCAAAAATCTTATCAACAGAGAGATAGAAATAAATAAAAGCATATTAATTTATACCTAAATATATAGTAAACGTCCAGACTTAATTATAATAATCTTAATAGACAACCAGGTGAGTAAAATACGTCAATATTCAAATAAGAATAGACAGGTAGGTATTTAGATAGATAGATAGAGGCACAGACAGGTAGACAGACAAATAGGAAGCTAGATATAACAACAGACAGATACATAGACAAATAGATTGACAAGTAGGTATTTAAATAGATAGATAGGTATAGAGAGACAAGAGAGAGAGAGAGAAATACAGGTAGATAGACAGATAGATAGGTATAGAGAGACAAGAGAGAGAAATACAGGTAGATAATAAATAAACAGATAGACATATATATATATAAAGAGAGAGAAACAGATGGATAGGTAAACAAATAAAGAGAGTGAGATTTTGATTTGTTTTGAATTTCGCGCAAGCTACACGAGGTCTATCTGCGTTACCCGTCCCTAATTTAGCAGTGTAAGACTAGAGAATCATCACCACCCTCCGCCAATTCTTGGGCTACTATTTTACCAACGAATAGTGGGATTTACCGTCACATTATAACGCCCCCACGGCTGAAAGAGTGAGCATGTTTGGTGGGACGGGGATTCGAACCAGCGACCCGCAGATTGCTGGTCGAGCTCCCGAACCACCTGGCCATTCCGGGCCTGAGAGTGAGAGATCAAAATATATTTATTGGTGTCCTCAAATATCAATTTGTCTTTTATTTCATTAGTGTGAATGATCTAGGGAAAATACTTGTCAACTTATCTTGCATATATTGGCAGTTTGAGTCTTTACGTTAAAGAAAAAGACAATCACACTTACCAGAATAATGAAATTCGCTATGATCATAGCATACTTAATAATCTTGCCACAGCCTTCCACTGCCATCCTGTAAACTAGGAGAAAAGGCTGCTAATTTCGTTACCAGTTTTAAACATTCTATCGACGATCAAAAGTAGAGTGCTTTAATGTTTATTAAACAGTGCTAAATAGTACAAATCTTAATATTAATAAACACATAAAGAACCGTGAAATAATAATTATCATCATGGGAGTTATTACGTAATCAAAACTACATAGCTTACAATCATTGTATTGATAGTTATTTTGAAAAAGTTTATAAACGTAAACTGAGTCTGAAAATATTTCTTAGAAATGAAATTATCATGAGAACATAGGGACAAACAAAAAATGTTATATCACGGAAGAGAGTACATGTTGACTTGAATATAATGCAATAGATATCAATATTGCTAAGGCAACGTGCACTGTTTAACTAAGAATTTTCATACGAAACATCTTGAACATGGAGAATAACATCGCTAGTCGTAAGTTCTTTCAGAGAAATATGTTAAATCGAATCTTTTTAAACAGGAAACATTATATTCCTGGTAAATATAAAAATGGGATTCTATGTTTATCGTATGTCTGATAATTGAAAATAGGAAACTATAGTTCTTGTTTTTTCACAATGTTTTCTCTGAAAGTTAGTCTATAACTCTTTATTTTCTTGTAAATTTAGTCTTTTTTAGTTTTGGTAATATTTACATTAAAATACGCAACCAAGAAAAAAAAGGATTTAAAAAGACATATGTATATATAATCATGTTGGTTCTGAGGGTAATTTGTGAAACTGAAACTTTCTTTTGTTGAATAAACATTTAGTTGCATACCCCCTCCCCCTCCAAAGAAAATTTGTAAAAAAATAGGCACTATGAGATTAAATCTGGAAGCAATTTTGCATGAAATATAGCTTAAACAATTGCATGGCTGTTCACATACAACCCACAAACATCCAATGAAAAGTCAAGAAATCATCATTCTGTTGTAACACTGTCTGGAGAGCTAGACTTAAATTAGCATAAATATGTATGTTTTGATATAGTCAAGTACTGTACTATCTATATACAGAATAGTTATTAATTGTTAAATTATACTACTAATTTAAATAACTCTGTACACCAGTATTATATTAGTTATTTCAATCATTGGCTATCATATACGTACATTCATGATGTTAGAAAAACACGTAGGTTCAAGAAGTCTTGATAGAAATGAATAAAAATCCTATAACCCGAGCGCTTTCGAAAGGTGGTCCTTTCTTCTTCAGGGGCAAACAGGGAATGGTACATGTATGCACTTCTGAAATAACATGTTAGCATGTTCCATTCGTATGGAGTGCTTTTCCATACAGTTTCAGTGTTGACAGCAGTGTCATAATGATTATATATTAAAGCTAGAGCACTCAGATATTATTCGGTTTGTGTACATCTCTGGTAATTATTCAACCGGTGGAGAGCAGATGTCAAACGTTCTCATGAACATGAACTTAGTGGCAGTGTGGCAAAGAGTGTCAGTAACATAAAGATATTTGGTACACTGAATCACGTTTTTAAGCAGTCAGCCGGTATCTGTGGCTTGTCCTGGAGAGGTATAGAAAGCCATCTTGCCTTCCATCGATGAAGTTCTTCATCAAAAATATCAGGATTTGGCAAATCTTCCCTGTAACAATCTATAACCTGGCTGATATCAGAGATAGAAAACTCTTGTGTGAGTTTTGATGACATAAGTTTCTGAATTCATGCTGCTTGCTTTACATGTGCATCAAATCTGGAGGAAAGATTATTGATAATGTGGTCAAGAAAAGGAATGGTTACTGTTTTCTGTAAGTAATCCTCCACGTAACTATATTCTGCATTTGCACGTTGGGCTTGTTGTTGATAACTCGTAGAATGTTAACATTAATATCAGATTTGTTTGCAATATTACTACTATGGTTGAATATACGATGTGAATAATCATCTACGTTCAATATTAGCGAAGTCAGTTCTTCACAGCATTGTTCTATTAGGGAAATACCAGAAACAAAAGTGGGGGTTCGGCCTAACCCCCTTAACCTCCCCCTCCCCCCGCGTACATGCGCGAATAGGTCAAATCAATTATTGACTAAACAAACCAGTTTCAATAATAACGTTAGGTTACATAGATCAGCTACTGGCTGAAGAAACGAGTTTTAATAATAATATTGGGCTACAGAAATTAGACAAAGATCAACAAATTAGTTTCAATAATGACATTGGGTTACAAAAATGAACCAGTGATTAAACAGTTTCAATAATAACGAGTGATATAAATCAACAACTGAATAAACAAATCAGTTTCAGTAACAATATTGAGTGATATAACTCAACAAATTATTAAACAAATCTATTTCAATAATAATATTGAGTGATATAAATCAACAACTGATTAAACAAATCAGTTTCAGTAACAATATTGAGTGATATAAATCAAGAAATCAATTTCAATACTATCATTCATTAACTTTTTTGACGAAATCACAATTGTCTCCAAATCACATTTGATTAGCTGTTTTATTTTTATGAATTTTTTGCACATTCTGAGTAAAAAATCTTTAATGTTCTAATTATTAGATCCGAATTGACTTAAGAATTAACTAGACTTGAGTGGATCCACATGAAATATTGGTAGGTTAGATTCGAATAATAAATGAGGTGCTTTTTAGTAAAATACAAAATTTGCTACGTCTACTCTTTTTTGTTTTTCCATTTAAACGGGAAGCAAGTCCATAAAGTGAAAACTGTATAATTCAAACGTCTTGCACTCAAGAAATCACAGAATGATTGTTCATATAGAAAGGTAATCTCTTGCAATATACCAATACAAGTATACTTGATAATGGGAAAAATACATTAGGTGTTAGTACAAACATATTAGATAATAGAACGAATTTATAAGGTGTTCTCTCAAGTATATTAGATGTTGAAATAACTTTCAAATGATTTAGTACAAATATAAAGGATGTTAGCGGGAAAATATAAGATATTTGTACAAGTTAATCGAACAAAATTATTAGCTATTGGTTTAAAACTGCTATTTATTATGATAAATATCATTCTTGAAGGGAATCTTAAGGTTATGGAAAGTTATAAACTATTACTACTAAAGAAAAGAAAGTTGTACAATGCACAATCATTACACCTTGTTTTCATGCTACTGTACAGGTTGTCAACGTAAGATTGAGAAATATTGTTTCAAATATCTTTTATCATTTTCCACAATTCAGAAAAGTTGTTGGGTCGCATTCTGATCTCCTCAGTTTTACATAAGCCCACTCATAACTAAGAATATTTATATAGGGAATTTGAGCAGGTTAAATAATTGCTGTGAGTGTTCTATCATCCTCTTTATCACCAAACTCCTGTTTCAATAACATTTTCTTTCACTGTCTTTCTGAAAGACGAAATTCTGCCAGCTAAGTCGTGCTCCTGAGAACATAGAATGATGAATAAAAATTTACCTGTGCTTGTCAGCAGTCAGGGTGTCGTAAATTTTGTGTAACTCACAGACACCGTTGCTGAGATTCAGCCCCGAACTTCCGCTGATAAACTATAATATAGCACCATAGATGCTGTATATTGGCTTTGATACCGTTCTCTTCTCCGCCATGAACCAGACTGTTATTGATTGTGCCAAATTTAAATTCATCTCTATAGAGAACGCGTCTTCAACTCTGGCCATTCCGTTGTTGTGGTTCGATGCCAATTTCATTTCAGCAGCAGTTTGCAAACAGCAATATGTCCATTTGAGACCACTTCATATGGTTCTCGAAGTAGCTTCCACATCCATATTTACAGTAAGTTCATTGGAAAGATCTCTACACGATGGTCATCTATGGTTCGTAAAGAACATGCCCTGAAATACCTAACATCACGTTTGGAGAGTTTGATTTTCTACCCTGACTACCTTAATTATTAACAATATCAATTTCATAACCTTTTTAGAGCGTTACATACAACTCCTAGAGAAAAATGGAGTGTTTCCACAATTTTTGGCATGAAGTAATCTTGGTCAGCCAAAACTTTGATTTTTACGTGCTAACTATGAACTATGAATGGAATCAATACAAACAAAACAACAGGAATTTAGCTTTAAAAAATCTTTCAAACATAGAAAAAAAAAAGTTTTGGGGACCTGAAAGACCACCCAGAGTGGTCAGAAACTTTTGTTTCTCTTCACCCCGCGCGGTGAAAAAGTTAATGCCAAACAAATTTTGATAGAGCCGCTGGGCTTAATTTAATTTTAACACCTAGAGTGGATTGTTGAGAAACACATGGATACGAGGAGGATGCTGATCCAAACACGCCTGGGAATAGTTAGACTGCTTGTGCTTTTATAGGCTTACTATTATGTCAATATATACACATAGAAATCAGTTCGTTTTGCTTTGTTGTCCATATATACTTATACAACTCTGTTCCTTTTGCTCTCATGTCTATATATGCACACGTAACTCAGGTCATTATGTCTATATATACGTATGAAGCTCAGTTCATTGTGGTCTCATATTTATGCATACTTATATAAGTCAGTTCATGTTACTCTTAAGTCTAAACATACACGTATAATATCAGTATTTTTTGGTTTCATGTCTATATATGCTAATAAACTCATTTTCTATGTATTTTTTTGCTGTCGTCTCGATACATACATGAACAACAAATTTCAGTTGGCACTCAGTATTGGCACAAAACTATTTCAACCAAATTATTATAATGAATATTAAATACAGTAGTATACTCCATTTTTTTTCAATACTATGCTGTTAAATTATAAAACATGTTTAAAAACCCTGGGGAAGGGGGCGTGTGTGTGTTTGAGCATTCGTGCACGTTACTACAAAGGATGTGATGATAACCGACAATTCATTTTTTTTAAAAGAAATCTGCAGATAGTGTATTGAAAGTATATAACTCTGCACGTGAGGGTGGGGTCAAAATTTCTGCTTCCACGCGACAGTGCCTTACATCCAGTACGGACCCGCGTGATATTTAGGGTGGGTCCGAAGTTTTCTGTTCAATTCATCAGAACAATG